ACCTCGGCCAGACTTTGCCGAGTCGTGTGGCCAAAGTCGCAAGGGCGACGGAAGTGAAACAAAATACTTTTTTCAGTCCACGTAGTGTCCTCTGGACTCCTAGGGAGAAAAAATTCAGTATTCGGGGTTCTTATAACTTACCTAGGCTTGCGAAAAAACACAAAACATACAAGTTGATTATCCTGACTTTTCGTTATGGATTGAAAACTTTGAAATTTCAGCAAATCGAAAAAAAAAGGGATCCCATAAAGTTGTGAATTATTAAATACCTTAATTTCGATGTTGCGTACCGATTAGTTTGAAACGATGCCACCCAGCAATGAGATCTGCAAATAAACGCCCGAGTGATGAAACTCCGACTACACAAGGGCATAGCATAAAAACGGTATGGCTGGATTACGTTATTTTGCTCTAATGAATGGATTTAATCCCGAGAAAAATGTTTAGTAAGGAAAATTACCTCTTTAGTTCAGTTTATTGAGGGTAATAGGCGCTAATTTTGATGAAATCGGAATTGGACTGATATCGAAGACATTTTCTTATGCTATTAAGTATGACAGAGCCAAGCTTTTTATCAATATGCATCATGCCATGGGAAAACCAAAAAACAAATAAAAGTTTAAAACATTTCCCTTCCAGAACCGGAAAATGTAGTCTGAATTTGATCAAATACAAGTAAAGTCAATGGTAAGGGGTCGCATTCCTTTTTTTAGAAACAAGGAACAATTCCAGTTTTAAAAATTATTTTTCGTTAATATGTGAAGACCCTGCCACAAAATACATTAAAAAACGTTTTGCCCGCATTTTGTTTTACCACATCAAGTATTTGGGACACAAGCAAAACTGCCCACATTATCGCGAAGGTTAAGGTAAAGGCGAATCATATTAGATATCAAAGTATACACTTAAATATCCTTTTTATGCCATAACTTCCGCTTATGCAGAAGACAGAAGATAAATAATTTTTGAAATATCTTAGTATAAATTCGGTCACTCCTTTTTGCATGCGCAAGCCTAGAACGGTGCCTGAAAGTAATCAACTATGGTGAAAAATACCCCAATATAAAGAACAAAGTAAGTTCTTGCATTTCAAGCCAAATTGTATCGTTTATTTTCAGGTCAATTAAAAAAGTCATCAGAATTCTCCATTTCTATTTTGATATCACCTTAGAAAAGGTAACATGAACAGATGTTCGTCAACTTAATATCTAATTAACGTGCTTTTTAAAGACGAACGCTATTATAGAAAGTTTTCTTGTTAATCTTTGGAATAACAATATCAGATCTCTGTTCCGGACGTTCTTTTTGCTCGACAGAGTAGTTTCGTGTGTGGAGGAATTTCTAAATATGGCCCACATGTCCATTTTCATAAGAACTAATATCCATAAACTCATATTTTCTTTAACCGTTTTTAATGAATATCTTATTTTAAAAGTTTCGATATCAACATGGAACAGAATCTACGTTTATGAAATCAAGCCTGAAAATAAAGAGAATCGTAGAAAATTTGCCAGAATTTCAGGGTCCATCTGTAAGTAATTGTAACTAAATAACGGCAATATGTTTTCAATATTTTGGCTAAGGAAAAGTTCTCTTGATATAAAGGCATTGGTATGGGTATCCATTCAAAAAACGATAGGGTTTAAATTTATTGTCCTAATTTATAGCTATTTTTTACGTCTAAGGAACTTGAGTGTTGTTAAGAAACTTTTATTTTTCTTTTTAAAAAACTAGTACATTTTATATTTCTCCGAGTAACAAATTTGCCTAAGGTCGTTTATTATTATTTATAAGTTTTCAGACATGCGTTAATGTCGGTTTCTGAGTGATTATCAGTAAATCGCAGGCTTCAGCATTTTGCACGACTTCTCTGCCATACTGTAGACATAAAGTGAACATGAACAAAGGATCTGTA